CAATCACAATTTTAACATCAAGTAGTAAACATGATATTCAATATAAATAAAGAGCTAAGTTGGATGTTAGTAAACTAGAAATCCCCCAAAGAGATTTCGTCCTCCCGACCACAAGAATTGGACGCGGATTATTCGGTATGCCCCCTCTTTTGCTACTTTATTGCAGAACTAACCTCGGATGCCTACCAACGGTTATACACCGCGTAGCGCCAACTGTAGGGCCTCAAAAGAGACGTTAAAATAGGACCTTACCTGAATCCCTCCTCACACCAAACCACCTAGGGTCCGAATACAACCGCTCCATTCAAGGGTCCCGAAAACCACTTGCGCAAGACTTTAACTTCTAAATAAGGAACGCATCCCAACAAACCATATATCACATATTCTCATCTTTTCATTACTCAAGTGTTCGAAAACCCAATACCCTCCCTATTAGGTTTCCCGTTGAATTAAATGTTTTAAATCAAGGTTAGTCCAACTTACAAGACAATAATATCCATGTAAGCATGCATTCTTAAAATGAGAAAGGTAAATAACATAACCGTAACACATATAATATCATGCCAAGATATGATCATAAGCTAATAAGCAATCTCATGAATTCAAGGGCATAAAACATCCACCACAACACAATTTCCAGATTTAGTATCGCATAAAGATTAAAATGAAAGGACTATTTTAGATCTTTCACCGGACTCGGCCTTCCTATGGCTCGTAGAGAATTTGATCTAGTTTCTAGAATATATTTTGGAAATGGGATAGTCTTTCTAGATTTTAAGTTATTTAGAAAACATTCCAGCGCTGTCCAGATTTGTCGATCGTTACGAAAATTTGATTTTCTTGCAAACTGCTCACTTTTTTTCTATGAAACCAATTTTAGTTAAAAGATAACTCCTTAAGGAAGATTTTGACATAAAATAGTGGTCCAGGATAATTTTATACATGTTTCTAAAATTTTTGAAAGTGGGCTGCAAAAACAGATTCTGAGGTAAAATGTCCAAAACAAGAAGATTTATGAGAAAAGGGTTCCACCAAGGGAAAATTTTCATTTCTTTTATGATGAAAACATGCTAACTAACATGTATTAAACTCAGAAAAATTGCTTGAAAGTGTGCCCTTGGAAAGTTGAGAGATTGGTATGAAAAAAATATGGTTTTGTGTCGAAATGGGGAAAATACAAGAGAGATAGAATCAATACTCAACTCTTAGCATTTTTAACACAAGTAACTCATCAATAACAGATCTGAAAACATTATTTAGAACCATTAGAAATATGTATTTGAAAAAGGAAAATGAAAAAGAAAGTTGTGTTGTGGCTTACTTGCTAAGCTTTGAACATGAAGGCTCTCTTCTTCCTCCCTCTTCCTCTCTAGACTTCTCTCTCTTGCTCTCGTCCCTCTCCTTTAGCCGAATGTGTGTGTGAGTGTGTTGTTTGTGCTTGCCAAGCTAGGGAATGTTGGCATTTATAGACAATTTTTTATGTAAAAGTTCTAAAAGCCCATTAGTTGGAAATGGATGAAAAGGTTAGGATTTGTTTAAAGTTTAAAGGAATAGGAGTGATTTGGGAGGGCTTACTCATAGGTTTAGGCAACATTTAGTTAAGATGGAACTAGTATTGGAATTATCATCCTAGGTCTAGGGTACTAGGTTTGTGATTTTCTAGAATTTCATGATGATAAACTTTGAAAATTGGCTCCTCACTTCCTCCTAGAATGGCCAACCCTAGGGAAGGGTGAAGGGGCTATTTTTCTTTAATCAATTTAGGTTCTAGGGCACACTTCTCAAGGTGTACATATATATCTCACTTGATTGATGGTACTCATGGTACAAGGGTACAAGTACTAGTTTATGGGGAAATTTTGAATTTAAATAAAAAGTAAGGGTTTGGTATTAAATTCATCTAACTTATGTAGAATTAAATTAGGTTAGGGAACCTAATCCGGTTAGGGTAATTCCTATTTTGATAAAAATAAAAATAGTAATGCTAACCGACAAGATTCGAATTAATTCAAGTAACCGAGGGGCTTTAAGAAAATAATTCAAACATTAAGGTCTTTAAAGTGAATACATATTTCAGGGGCTTCACACACATACACTACATCGATACACTGCATTTGGTATACACTATCTGATATACTGCATCTAATATACACCACAACTAATGTATTCTGACAAACTGCCCTTTTTCAAATAGACAACATCTCCAAATAAATAAAAATAAAATAAAATACCTAACATTATATAAATTAATTATGAAATCGGACGCAATCATCTGATTATCTGATTGATTTCTGTAAAAAGTAGAAGAACTGAACAAGAAAATGATGGGATTATGAAAACAAAGAACTTTTCCTATCAAATATATGCATATGTGGATTGCCAAACATCTAATCTACCAGGGTGAGAGTCAATATATGTCATGTGTGTGTGTGTTTATATACCTGGGTGACGCTGCAACAAGCATGAGCCTCTTGAAGAGCTCTGGCCTTTTAATGGAAGCAATACATCCAATCATACCAGACATGGAGTGGCCAACAAAAACTGATGATTTCAAGTTCATCTCCTCCAAGAGAGAGATCAAGTCATCAGCAAAAGCATCAAAAGTGGAGTATTTGACAGGATCAAAGAGGTTTGGATCATTCACAGCCCCAGAGAAGCTCCAGTCGAAGACCACAACTCGGTATTGCCGGGCTAAGTATGGGACAATTTTGTCCCACATAGACTGGTCTCCTCCGTATCCATGTGCCAGAACCACGGTCTCATCGCCTGAGCCGATGGTTCTAGCATTCATGGATTTTGAGAGACTAGTTTCAACCATCACCATGTTTGGACTGTTGTGGAAGAAGATGTGGTGAAGGAAACAGAGAGAGAGAGAGAGAGAGAGAGAGAGAAGCCAGAGGGTATGTTTGGTATGGTTTTTTTTGTTTGTTTCGCCTGTTATATAGGCACCAAGGGTAAGTATAATTGTGTTTTGTCCCAAGCAATCTTACCTGTCATTCGTGAACAATACTACAAAAATTATTAAGAAAAGTATATTTAAGGACCACAACCATTTTATGTTTTAGGAGCATACAAATCCCAGGTCAGCTAAGGATTGGGCCAAGTTTATACTATACAGTAACGGGTGGTTGTTTGGAAGGATTGTTTGATTGAGAATTTTTTTTTTGTTTCGCCTCTGTTATATAGGCACCAAGGGTAAGTATAATTGTGTTTTGTTTAATATAGGCACCAAGGGACTAGATTCTCTCTATAAAATTGTGTTTTGTCCCAATCAATCTTACCTGTCATTCGCGAACAATACTACAAAAATTATTAAGAAAAGTATATTTAAGGACCACAACCATTTTATGTTTTAGGAGCATACAAATCCCAGTTCAGCTAAGGATTGGGCCAAGTTTATACTATACAGTAACGGGTGGTTGTTTGGAAGGATTGTAAGGGGAATGGACTCTATATCCAATTTATTATGGAGTTTATTGTTTGATTGAGAATTTGTAAACTGAATTAAGAGTCTCACTGATTTATGAATCACTGATTTATGAATCTCATATATGTTGAATTATTTTGTTCTAAGGAAGGTAGGATAGAAATGATAGGATTGAAATCTTATGGGATTAAGTTATAAAATGACAGATTTATCTGTTAAGCATTTGATTCATTATGAATTGTATTTAGTAAAATAAAATAAAACATAAAAATCTCAATTAAAAAATAAAACAAAATAAATTTATTAGTGATGCTTGGGTGGTGGTGTGGTGGCCATAGAGAAGTGATAAAGGTGTTTATAGTAATAATGACAATGGTAATGAAAATAATGACATTACAAAAATTAAGAATTTGGAGATCAAAATTTAGAAACAAAATTATTTTTTTGGCACCAAATATTTTTGTTATAAAAAGTGTCGTTATTATATTTTTAGCAATGAAAATTAGACATTAGTGATGAATTATTATCCTTTTGTGACCAAATTTTTTGTCTTAAAAAATAAACTATTTTGAGACTAAAGTATTTTGTCTCTAAAAGTCTATTTATTAGTGACATTCTCAAAATTTTGTTGCTAAAAGTCTTGTTTTTTACTTTTCGGAACGATCTTTTAGCAGTTATCCTCGTGACAATGGAAATTGAGCCCTAAATGTCTTTTACAATAGAATTTTCAATTTTAAAGACCAAAACATTTGGTCTCTAAAACCATTATATATTATAGTGTGATAGTAGTGATGGTGGTGATAAGTTTATAATAGTGTATCAATACTTATATTTAATATATTATAATTTAGTCAAAATTAAATAAGTTTCATATCACTTAAATTTTTCTTAATTTTAATCCTACATTTTAAGAGGTATTTAAATTTTTATGTCATATCAATTATAATTATCAAACAGGTTTAATTAATTTTCATTTAATATATTCAATTTTATCTGCTAAATTATGTTATCAAACGCCACCACAATACTAATAATTTATATTTATTTATGTACATATGCACGGCTTAAATGGTTCGAATTTGTCAAAACGACGTCGTTTTGAGTACAAAACAACATCAAAATTGCCAAAACGACGTCGTTTTGGCAAATTCGAGCCATTTGAGCCACAAATATTAGGGCCCTCAAACATTTTCCATTACTTTAAGGTAAAATATCAATAATTTGTCTTTAGAGTTTTGTAATAGTAGCTTAGTTTGTCTTATGTCAATTCATCCAATCTACAACAAATCATCAATTATTTTTTATCCTTCGACATTTTTTTGTGAATCTCAACAAAATTTTTGATTTTTCAAAATTTCAAATTTGATAACTCAAATTTTATTTTGAACATTTTATTTAAAGATTTTAAAATTTAGAATGAGATGTATCTTAAATATAAACAAAATTTTAAAGAATAAAATTTTTTTAAAAGATTTAGATTAATCTTTTAAAGCACTTAGAGTCTCTTAGATAAAATATTAATTTTCATTAATCCATTCACTTGTAACTACGTAGAAAAATAAAATAGTATTGAAAAATCAAAAAATAAAATATGATTGTATTAAAATATGTTCTTTTGTAAAGTCTCTTTTTGAGGTTCTATGTTTATGGTGGCATTTTCGAATTTTGGATAAGAAAGAGAACGGGTGGAACAGTGAATAAAAAGAAAATTGTTTTTTTTTTAAATTTTTTTTATGGGATAATTATTATTTGCAAGAAAAGATGGTATAATTATGGTAACAATTTTGTTTTGGAAAAGGGTGGTAGAAAATATTCATTATTTTTTAATAATTAATATGCTAAGTTAGCAAATATATATTTTTTTTAAAATAACAAAAATTAAATTTTAGCACCAAAGTTATGCAAATGAACTAAAAAGTTTTTAAAAAAAATGCTTAATAATATAATATTGACATTTTCCATTTCGTATATAATCTATATCTGACTTAATAATATTGTTTTACATTTAAAAACTATTTAGCTGTCTAAAAGACAACTAAATAAAAATAAATATCCACAAAAAATTATAAAACATGTTAATCCATACCAAGTTAGAAACTTCTTTGATGTAAGAAATATGAAAAACAATAAAATACAAAATTTGGTTGGAAGTTAAAAAAATAAAAAATAAATAAAAAAAGAAGAAGAAGAAGAAAAGAGGTAAGACAGAGTAAAAAGAGAAATGATGAAAAATATTGTTTAAAGAATGCACACATATGCGACATAAAATATTAAACATAAACTAATCTTTAATAGTCTTCGAAAAAGAGATTAAAAATAATGAGTAGCATGAACTTGACCATTGTAAGGTGAGAAAGTTGGGAATGACGTGGAAAAAGATGTACGGCAGTTAGGGTTTTCGGGTGAAAAAGATAGTAGGTTGGAGAGAGAGAAAGTTGAAATTTTTCTTATTATAAAATAATTATTATTTGCAGGCAAGATGGCATAATTATAATAATATTTTTGTTTTAGAAAAGAATGATAAAGGTATAACAACATAATAATTAATTTTATGTAATTAATCTAATGTGTTAGTCAATAGGATTTTTTAAAATAACAAAAATTAAAAATTTTAGGATGAAATCTTGGAGATTCTTTAGGATTTGTTTGGTAACGTTTACGTTTTCAGTTTATATTTATAAAAATTTTATAAACTGGTTTTTTGTTTATTTTTAGAAAAACATAAATTACAAACGCGTTTGGTAATTGACAAAATGTTTAAAAAATTTTAAAAATATAAAATAGAGTGAGAAATGACAAGTGGCGGTAAGTGGCGGCGGAAGACGGTGGTGAAAAATGGTGATAGTGGGTGGTGGGTAGCTGGTGGTGGTGGAGGGTGGTGGCGGTGGTCGTGGTGGTCGTGGGTGGGTGGGTGACGGTGGCGGGTGGTGGGTGGCGGATGGCGGTTGGTGGTGGCAGATGGGTGGTGGTGGC